ATTGTGTGATTAAACTCGCGTCGACGATAGCACGCGGAAACACGAGATGATCGATCCCGCTTTAATCGCAATCTGCACTACATGCATTTACATGCACACTTTAATCATAGGCACGCGTAATCGGTGAGAAATAATCTTTTGTATCATTGCTTTGTGAAATAATTCATTTATTAACAAGAGATAGAAGAGATGAATAGAGATACTCTACTATGCTATAATTATATCCACAAATCCGATAAGAAACGGGAAATAAGTAAGAAAAGATCATAAAAATAACATTCAAATAATACAAGACAACATTCAATGCGAATAAATATTCAATTCGATTTTCAACGAGTAATGATTTTATGATGTTGAATGCTTTATTATATAATCTGGAGTCGAATTAAAACCGTATTTTCCAAGAAGCAATAAGTTTCAATAACATTTCAGTATTAAGTTAAGAGATAACCATGTAGCGAAATAAATGAAATAAGATACAGAAGTCGATGTATGACGCGAATGACCGATTACGATTTTTTACGGTTTATAGAGAAAAAGATATATTACTTTTCTCTAAAATTCTATGTAAAAAAGATTATAACTTTCACGCTTAGTATTTTTCATTTTCTTTCAAAAGAAAACGTTTCGCCACGGGCGAGCATGAAATGCGTAAGCACCTGCTGCGTTTTGGGCCATTGTTCCGCACGCATTGCGAAACTATAACGGTTACGCTCTGATAATACTGACGATATAACTGCTTCCGGCAAGAAATAGATATTATCAATGTTATTTACAGTTTGTTTTACACGTAGCTTTTAATATTGTACAATTATCCTTCACACATTATCCGTCATATATATACGAACATATCCGTCTACAGACCATCACTCAATTGTGAACCGAAACACATATGGGTTTTCTGTCGGCAGTCGATCAATAATCGCGTGACGCTCGAAGGAAGATCGATCATAATACCTGGGGGCTGTCTTCGGGCCTTTTTGCGTGATCGCCGATGGCGAAAGACCGGCGAATCCGGATTTCAATGCGTCCCCGGAGACGCGTGAGATAACGTGGCTTGCCTCCTTTTTCGACGCGACGCGCGTTGGACGTGTGTCCTCTCGCTCGCGCGCGTGTGTAAGTATACGCGTTCATACGTACCTACATGCCTCACGCATGTAAAAGAACCGTCTCTTCTGCCGCGTGTCGGACGCACGTGATGTCACATAGAAAGAGAGAGTCGTTACCGTTACGCAATGCCGACCACGCCGCATCGGGACGCGCGCGTATGCGTGTGCGTGTGCGAGAAAGTTGCGTGGCCCGGCCAAACGCTGACCTTACGTACTGCTCGCGCGCGCGCGTACACGTGCGTATGCACACACTTGAGAAACGTACATACACACTTATATGCGTGTGTGAGCTCGACGTAAACCAGTTTCGTTGCTATTCGATATGGCCTTTTAAAAATTTTATCGGTGTGAGGAAATTGCTAATTTCCTTAATTTACTTAAATATCTAATATTTTAACACCAACACCTTCTTACGGCTCGATGCTCCTTTTTCTCGATTGATCTTTAAAGAATGTTGGCGAAATAATATTTCACATACTTATAGAATAGTAAAAATTGTATGCAATATCTATATTATAAAAATATAAAATGTGAAATACGTATAAATAAACTAATAATTTTATTTTTAAAATAATATGATGGTTCATAAACGATAAAAAATTGTTTTTGACATATATATACTTAAAAAGTCACGTCTATATTACATATATTTAAATTGATGTGCGTTAGATTTTTTCTAAGAACACTTTCTTCTTTCGCTTAAATGATAATCTCATGCTTAATTTTGATGGTCTCGTTATGGTGATTAAAGCTGCGCGCGATGCATATAATTTAACGATCAGATCGGAACCGATACTTGGCGGGCGAGCGAAACTAGTCTCTCGGGCTTTTAGAAACCATGAAAACCAGGACGTGGTAATGGTGATTACGGTGAAACCTTGCCGACATGTCGATACACCGGAAGTCGGCTTCTGGCACGGGAGAAACGGGCAGGAAGCGCCGCGCAGAAGGTGAAAACGCTGCGAAAACTCGTGCCTCGTGCCGGCTCAAAACGCGCGCGCGGTCGATGCGACTAGACACCCATTCTACCTTCGCGGCATTCGAGGGCGAGTCAAGGCTGAGCAAGGTCGCATCACCCTTGCGAGTTTCCGGTGGGCGAGCGAGATTTATCTCCCGCTCGCGATTGCGTCGCAAACATTTCGATTTATCTCGCTCGATCTGCCGATCTGTCAAGACGCTGAAGATTGAAGAAAAGGGGCGACATTTTTGACACAAGGTCCGCTAAACAAAATGACTTATCTGGTTTTAAGAGATACGACGATTAAATCTAATGTTAAAGAGAAATAATGGCTAATTTTGACACGATAATAGACAAATGTTTTCAATCTCAACCGTGTTTATCCCGTCCTCGTTTTCCCGAAATAGACGGCGGCGAGTAATGAAGACACACGATCATTAAATCTCAGGGGTCGATTAAATCTTCATAATGGATTATGTGTGATAAAAATGCGAAACGACACACCTGGGTCGCGCATCGGGTCTAGATGCGCCTGCAGAGGTGCGCGGGACTAGCGCGACGGTAGTTTTGAACAATGCCGGAGCATCGTTTACTTCCGGGAGCCTTGAAATGTTTGGAAGACGCGCGCATCCTATTTGTTCGTATGGCGGATCTCTAAAAATAAATATTACACTCTTCGATTGAAAAGAATGCGACTCGCGTTTAGTATCAATCTCCGCAATGGCCGTTTTATTGAAAAAAAAAAAAAAAAGATTTGTGAACGGATCGTGATGTAATTTAATAACGATAAATTTACGTACATCAGGGGACATAATCCCTGATTAATTTGGCGTTTAGTATATGGCACTAATAAATTTAACTATGATTTTTCGATCTGCGCGATCGTGTGATTACCGAGTCGATTCACGAATCGGCGTCCCGCAGTGACGTCAATAAATCGATTCGCGCCGCAACCGTGGTCGTATGCATCTGATTTTCGTGTGTGTAAACGCGCCATGCGTTTTAATACAACATTAATTTTTGTCTTATCTGAAACTCTCGTCTTATCTAAGATTATAGTAATTGGACAAATGCAATGTTTAAGTGATAAGATCGACAGTCATTATTTTTTAATAGTTACACTATAACAGTTATTTTTCCTATTGTGAATACTGTACATCGACAATGGAAGGGTTTCCGCGAGAACGTTGCATTCTTTGTTTTCGCAGCGAGTAACGCATCCGTGGTTATTACGATGTTGCGGCTCTTACGAAGCCACGGAGATACGCAATTTCTATAGCGGAGGCGAAAATTATTCATGGAAATGCCGGCCTGTAATCAACTGTACTGCTGCGCATTAAGTGTTGGCATTTATACGATTTCATCGATCTCCAAGCAATCTCTCTCTTTCTCTCTCTCCGATTCGCGTATTATATCATTACAGGAATCTATTCTGACAAATATTTCCAAAAAACTGAGAGTTTTTACTTTGCAAACTTCATCCGGGCGTCCGGGCTTGATTTTAACGGGCAACGTTACCTGCTATTAGCGTTATGACCAACAGTAATGAAAATGAAAAGTTACGGTAGGTCGCAGAATTATTAGAGACCGTTAATAAAATTTATGATGACTGATAAACTTACCCGAATATTTAGTCACAACGGTGTAGAAGCGATGTTAGAGGATTCGATGCTTCTCATAAATATCGGTTAAACAAAACGGATTTATTTGAATTGGTCAAATTTATGTGGACATCAAATATCTCTCTAATATTTCTCCATCGTATTCATCCATAACTCCGAAAGACTCCTGAGACACGTGCCCAATGGCAGACCCGTATTGTTGCCCAATTCTCGCCGATCTTCCGAAAGCGAGGAGACGAAGGATGTTTGCATTCTCTCCGCGGCTCGAGAAATCGAGGGAATTCGCGTCTCGATCAAATCGCGGCTTGAATCAAGTCGTTCGTCGATCGCCATTTTCCACGGCGGATTTTTCGGGCCCGCTGCCGCGAGAAATTGCTTAATGAAGCTGCCGCGGCTCGGCATCGCCTGAAAGGAAGGTAGAAACATTACAGTGGGTCAAGGAGAGACGCCGGCTTTCACTTCCTCTCGGCAGCCAGCGCGAGTTCCTCGAGAACGCCTCCCGAGCCGCGGCTTTTTTCCCTTCTCCTTCTGTCGTTCCTCTCGTCGTGAGAATGTTTATCCGCCTATGACTGGCGCTTAATTATATCAACGGACGAGAAGATACGTTTATCTCCCGACGAACAAACTAGATCCAATTAATCCGGATCGAGCAACGCCGCGGTGCAATTACGAATCACGATAAGCGACTTATCTCGGAGCGTCATTTTTAAATTAATGAGAAATCGGTTCTTTACGTTGTAAGAGTCTGCGCGACTTGCGCTTGTCCGAATATTTTAGTGGCACGGTGAATAAAAATTATACTGTACTTTAATTTCTGAAGTGACAACTCATCGTTAGTTTTACTTTTGATATTTATATGAGATTAACCTCTATTGACATTCCAATAGTGAGCGTCGATTATCCTCTGGAATTTCTAGATTTTGTAACACGATTTCATATTTTGTAGACAGAGTAAACTGAGATGAGTGGACAAATCGAAAACGTAAAGAGTAAAGATAAAGGTTTTGTTGAATAAGTTTATTTGCAACTTCAGTGTAAATTCGAGAAAGATAAACTTACACGTTTAAACTTCTTTCCTAATATTTGCACAAAAAAAGAAGACAATTCCGTTCCCTTATATTTATTATTTGACATGAATTAACAGAAAAATTGATTCGCCACTTACTCTCATCTATTTCGTTACAATCTTCGACTTTAAAATTCTATCGTTTACCCATTGGTCATTTCTGTCCAATGTATTGGCGTAATGTGAAGCTAAGCAAGATTAATATCTACTTATCTAAACGATGTATCTCGTTATCTTTGTTACAGTGGACACCAGGGAAGTTCAGCCGCACGACCCGAGCGAGAAAGAACAGCTGGGCCTCGCGAGCGTAAAAGTGGAGCCGGGATCTACTAGCGCGACGACCACCAGTAGCACGGGGACTCGTCTGCTCCACGGTATCCTCTCCCAGCATCCCCAGCAGCATGGCCTGGGGCTGCAGAATGGATACGGCCGACACTTGGGCGGCCACGCACAGATGGGCCAACCGCCTTACACCACTGCCGCCATCGCCACGACGAGTACGCCAGGTAAGGCATATCAACGAGGCCCTATAAAAATATCGATGAGATTTAATTGTCCAGATGTTATCGTCTATAATCGTTTTTTGGCGATAGATTAGCCAGCGTTGCAGCGACATTGAAAAATTTCAATGGATTTTTTAAGAATTTTATAATATAATTTAGCATAATAGGGGGGCAATGAAATATAAAGGATAATATTGAAAAGAAAAATGAAAGAATCTCTAAAAATGGATTTGATAAACTTTTAGTGGAATTTAATACCCGTACGCATAACAAAGAAGTAAAACCAGATATAAATAAAATAGGAAAGAAAATAGATACTCGATGTCAATAGGAATTTGATATGTATATTTATATACACGCATGATAATAAAATAATGTTAATGAGAAATATTAAGAAATATAATATTAAAATAAAGTATCAAAATATAGGGCGGAAGAGAATAAAATAAGTACAGTAGAAAAGTTTAGAAAGTTCTTTGACATTTCTCTATTGTGCAGAATTTAATCGCAATATCGATATTGTTTCTTAAATTAGAATGAGTTATTTTTAAAAATGAACTTGTAATTACGAAGGAGACATACTTACGTCAAAATCACATTTCTGTTTTTTTTTTTTTTTTTATTTGACTCTTGTAATTCAGTCATATGTAAGCTTCCATCCTGAAATACATAATATGTCTAAAAATTTCATAGTTATGAATTGTATTGTGAAATGTCAAGATATCATATCTACAAACAACGAGATTGACATTTGTCGGGTAAAATAAGACATCAATTTCCGTTAATTGGATCGCGATATGATAGCTCTTGTACATTGTTCGTTACCGAAGTGACAACTATAATTTGATCACTTGGACGTTTTGTCGAGTAATTGCATCATAGTGCTACTACTGCGCTAATTGACCGAAGAACAGAACAATAATCAAACGCGACAGCAGTTAACGAGAGAAAGGGAAAAAGAAAACTCTTGGCGCGATTTCTCAAGAATGATCGTAATATGATCGCAGGAGCGATCGTAATAACGATGTAAGCCAAATTTCCGCGTTCGTAATTCGTAAGTTACAATTAGTGGATCAATGTCGATTTCACAAAGTTGCGTTACGCAACGGTAAAAATCGCGCGCACCGGTAACGAGCCGACCATTGCATATTCGGTAAGAATTCGGGCGTAAGACGGTTCTTAAAATATACACGACTCCGATCGTTGCATAAAGCAGCGCCGGTCGATCGGCGGGATTCGCGGCTATCGGCTTGCGCCAGTCTTGCACGATCGCCTTGCGCAACACGACGATGAAGACGACGGTGATGATGACGATGACGACGACGATAAAAAGAAAGAGGGAGAGAGGACAGGAGAGAAACGGAGCAATGACTCCGTGCAGAACCCTTTGGGACTCGTTTGAGACGGTTAACCGCGTCGCGCGAGGGAGAACGAGCGAGAGAAAGAGAGAGAGAGAAAGAGGTACCGTGGGAAGAGCGAGCGATATGCATACCCAATGACCGGATGACCTTCGCCCGTTGCATAAAGATGCCTTTAATTGACGGCGCGCGCGAAAACACGTTCGGCGTGGCACGGCTCGGCGACGCTCGATAAAGCCGTACGAGCGGGAGAACGAGAGCCGCTGGACCACCTCGATGGGACATCTAATTTGTTTAAAGCGGCGGACGAAAGCGACGTGTACGTGGCTTTAATTTAGGGTCCGGCAAAGAGCCAGTGAATCGCTAATTTATCACGACCGCGTAATATGTTGAAGCGGCTATTCGATAATTGCGACGTATACACTTTGTATTCATTGAGTGTTTAAACCGACACGGTGGTCGCTTCTGCAGCTATGTATATATACCGGTGACGTCAGAAGCGAGGATTTGTATCGAAATTTCCGTGGCAAACTATGCTCTTTTTTAAAAGAGATAGCTTTTCGAAAGAGAGATTAAAAGTAAAACTTTGAATAATACACCAGGAAATTCAGAATAATTTTAATATACAAGGCATAATGACCGCGTGACATATTGGCTTAGAAAGCGTCGCGAAAGTGAAATTAATCATCCGTCGTGTGATTTTATTTATAATTTTACCTTGCTAAAATAGAAATAGATAATGAAAAGATAATTGCTTAAAGAAACGAGTTTTACATAAAAATGGCAAAAGACAAAGTTTCCGCAGCTACTCGTTTCAATAATTCTTATTTGTTTAGAAATATAATATACGCAAAAGACATATTATTCACATTGCGAACGTAACTTTCAGCTCTCTCTCTCTCTCGTAACTTTTCGCAAAATTATTCTCCTTGGCGCGTAGCGCCTTTTCCGACGAAATAATAATGTTCACGGAGGCTGATGCAATTCTTTCTCCGTACAATCCTCTCGAGTGCCCTCTATTTTATTTATCGCGCTGTTCCGCGCGAAACGGAATCGCGCGAGATTAATTGACGGTGTCGCGTCTTATCGCCGGCCGTAAACTCCGTTGACTATTTATCACAGAGGACGCGTCTCCTCCCTTTGTTTCATGGCTGGAAGCAGGAAGCGGATCACTGCCAGCGAGCCCAGCGGACAGCGGAGTCAGCGACGTCGAGTCCAGCACGTCCTCCGGTGGCAACGAGGACGCGAATCTCTTACTGAAAGCCAGGCTCAATCCTAATTCGTCCCTCCAGCCAAGTCTGGCGTCTCATCACTCCCACCTGTCGTCGGGTGAGCTCGATCTTTATTCTTACGCACGCTCATTGACGTGCTTAACATGTATGTGAGAACAATTTTTTATCATTAAATATATTTTTATACTTTAAACAAAATATTTTTTTTAACAAATTATGAATGTCTACGCGAGAGATTCTTTATTTATTTGCGCTTTCGGCAAAATTTACAAATTCGAGAAGTTTATTGCTTCATAAATGTTTTGTTATAAAGAAAACAATGTAATGGTAATTAGAGAACAAAATTTATTAAATTCGTGCTAATCAATTTTGTTGAGTAATAATCCTTCGAGGAAATTAAGGCCGTAATAAACGACGTTAAATATAAAAACGTTAAATATAAATGATATTTATATTTATAGTACCTACTAAATCATTTTAACGTCATATCTTGATTGTTCTTGGAGCAACCTGTTATACAAAGATTATAAATACATAGAATTTGAAATCTGTCTTTATTTTTTAAAGAGATTTACACATTTATAGGAGAATATTTTTAAGCAATATACATATCTATACAGAAAACTTAAATGTAATTGTGAATTGAACACTGAATAATTAAGAGAAAGATTATTTATCGTCAAAATAGTTTCGCACGATAGAAAATGGCCGTTCTAAAAGTAAGATGGATTAGGATTTGATCGAATTTAAAGTTAGGTACTTTGAAAGTTCCGAAAAAAAGGGACTTAATTGTTTGAATTGTATTTTTTCATTGATCGCCTCTATTGATTGCTCGATAGCAGCGCTCGGCAGATCGGCATGCCACAGCCCCGGTGTGTATCCGGGGTCGACGGCAAGCTTCCTGTCGCCCACCTATCATCCTCATCAGCATCATCCCTCCCAGTATCACCCACATCGGGGGAGCTCGCCGCACCATCAGCACAGCAACCACACCATGGGTCCGACGATGGGGCCGCCTCACCACCACCACCATCATCAAGCGCAGGGTCTCCAGCATCACTTGCATTACCGTCAGCCATCCTCACGTAAGTTCTCAAACTCTAATTTATTACAACGACGTAATTGGCGGAATTAGCGAGCCCCTCGCTGCGAGACTCTTCCCAAGAATCCTCGATAATTTTGAACAATAGGCAATAACGGGTAATAACGGATAATGCCCGGTCGATGTGTCGGACGGGGTGACCGATTAAAAATCCGTCGATGTGAAAACGTGAAAATTAAAGGAAAAAGAAATTTATTGAGAGTAGCGGGCTGAGATTTCGAAATTTTACCCTTTACGTGGAGGAACTGGATAGCAATCCGACGACTAGGATTTCGTGCTAGACTTGCAATGAGGCGGGCCTTTTCTTTGACCTCGTTTACTTATCGGCAATTTTGACGATAGTAGATGTATCTCTGTTCTCATCGCGATCGATCGCCGGCGGTCGGAAAGAGGAAGAAACGGGAAAGTGCGGGGAATATCGGGGGAGGGGAATGAATACTCGATGAAACAGTGATTTCGGTATCTCGCGGTGGCATCTGAAGACTGGATCGTCGTGACGTAACGACGGTAGCTCGTAGAGTTTATTTCGACTTCGTAGATATCGATTCGATCGCCGTCGACCAACCAAACGTGGAATATTTTCGCTTTTGATGAGTTACCACGCACGCAACCGTAAAATTCTCTCTATGATTCTACGATTTAGCGACACTGTATCGTGTCAGTCATTTTCGATCTTTTTTAAACGTTACGAACAGGTTAGATTTATTTTCGAAAATATTACGGAAAATATTATGTCATTGAATTAATGATTAGAGAATATTTATATCTTTGTTTAAATATGACAAAACAAGTTGCGAAACGTTGTTAGACGGGGGAGATGAAAATGTATGACATTTTTATTGTTACATCTGTGACTTCATGGAATGCTGCAACTCGAAATAAAGTTGTCGCGACAAGATACGAATAGATATTGACGTTATGCTTATTTTGCCCAGAGTTCTTTGAATATTTTTACTTTTGTATTTTTAAAACAAGTGGCCGAATTTTCTTATAGTACATACCAAACTATTGAGGAGATATTAAATTGCTGATAATTTTATTTCACTTTTTGCTGTAATGCATGGAATAATAAGCGAAACTTCATATAGCTTTCGCACATCGTATAATCGTATATAATAATCGTACGGTATACCGAATGATATCAATAAACGCTATCACATACGCTATACTGTTGCTTAAAAACATACAATTAATGTGACCAACACGAATATTCTATAGTTTTCAACTGGTAGACACGAGAAAGTGATAAAGGAATTAGAACGTAAATCCGCGATTTCAAAGCCTATGCTGTCTCGCGGGACAGAAGAAGTCGGGCCGAGTTTCTCGTTGAGCGTGCGAAGGCAGGAAGCGTCTAGTTCGTCTAAGACGAGAGGAGGACTTCCTCCGCCGCGCAGCCGAGATGCCAAGTGAAAGGATTCGCCTTGTCGTCGCGGAGAACGTGGAAGAGAGCGATCGCACGAGCGCCGTCGTCCTCGTCGCTGTCGCTGTCGACGACAGCGACGTCGACACCTTCGCAGCGCGCCTCGTCTCGTTCTCGTGACCCACTTGCCATTCTCCGATTCGACGGCCCAGATTCGCTTCCTGCCGCCGAAGCATTTCCGTCTATACACTCTCGCATCTTGACAGACGCAGTTTTCTCCTTCGATATACTTACAATCTCCATTGAAAAACAGATATTTTCTTCACGAACCTCCGCGCACCTAGATGAAACGTAAAAATCCTCTTGGTACTTAACCGACTATTTTCGAACTTTTCAAATTAAAGTTTTACCAAAGTAAAGCTCATTCAGAATTAGCCAAGGAGCATGGTTTTTATTCATTTACATTTCTAGAATTTATTGAAATTCGATAATTTTTAGTGATCCGTGACAAAGTACAAAAATCACGTATAATTGCTTTCTCATGTTTTCGTAATATTAAAGCAAATTTTTTGATGTTGAAAGTAAGCGTAATTCTCGAGACTCAATTCCAAGTATAAAAATTTAGCTCCAGGTAATGAGGTTTAGAAGGAGATTGCGCTCTAAGATTAAGCATGTCAGCGATCCTAAAATTGAGGACGCCGCGGAATAACATTTTGCGGATTGCGGACACTCGGTGGCATTAGGTTTTTACCGATTCGTCGGCGTCAGGTTTCGGTACGTTTGCGCGGCCAATTTGTCCGCGTCGAGATGTCGCGGGAATTAATTGGAGTGAGACGATGTGGGTCAGTCGTGTCAGTTTTGGACCAATATACGGGCGAAATATAATTAATCGGGACGCGATCGACGAGCCAAGAGATGTCTCGGTTACGATTTCGCGCACCACCGGGAGTTTCCTCTTTCTCTGCCGTTTAAAGCCGGTTCGACGCGGAATCGGCAGCTGATCATCGTCGACGAGCGCACCTGGCGCCCGCGCGCCGCGGAGACATCAGCCGCGCGCTCTCGGATCAGCGCCAAGGTTGATTTCTTGACTCGAGTCGGCGCGGCGCGGCGGTTCGTGGTGGAAAGCGCTCCGACGTACAATCGCGGTGAAATTCTCCGCGTGCGAGCGCGGAGTATCAATTATCGCGGCGAAAAGAAAATAGAAGAAAGACTGGCGCGCGCAGGTATAGGCTGGCGTCGCGCGTCGAGCGGAAGCCAGCGCACTCGTTGCGTTTTATTATGATCGCAGGCCCCGCGAATTCCCGCCGCGACATCGCCGACAATGAGATCGAACTTTCCCTAATTGAAAATATCCCGCGAGCGAGCGCGCGAGACTAGCTTTAACCTCCTTTTTACGACGCGCCCGATCGTTTTGGTCGGGGGAAAAAATTGCCGCGTGTGTCTTTAAGCGTGTTAAAGCGCCATTCGTGCCTGCGCGAAAATACGAATGATCGCCGTTTACCGGACCGTAAATTGCGAGCGCGCGAAATACGTTAATAGACAGAGTCTTAATGAAAATTTCCGTGGGCTCGGGATAAGCTTCCTCCTCGCGTACACTGTCGATAATAACACTTCACGGTTAGCCCGTAAAATTTCGCAAGGAATGCCGCGAAAACGTAGCAGCCTTGTATCATTATTTTTCTAATAAATTTAGCCTCTTATTCTGCTTTCTCAATTGAAATATTATGTATAAATTGAAATGGAAATCACAAGGTGCTCCAGAAAACAACACAATAGCTTGTTAGATAAAATACTAAATATTTATAAGAGAATAAATACATATATACATGAAAATGATTTTTTCTCTTTTTTTTCTTTCTTTCTTTTCTTTTCTTTTTTTTTTAAGAAAAGAGGACGCTGCTGACCGCATAGAATTTGGAAAGTAAGGGACAAAAATGCTGTAACGACACTGCGTTATAATACCGAGGCGCGCTCGACGGGTCGCCGCGCCGCGCTCCGAGTAAAAGTGTGCCAGATTGTATAATCGAACGTGAATAAGCAAAATGTTACGCCATAGCGATTTGGTAACGTCGCCGGGGCCCCCCCTTCCTCTTACCCTGGTCCGAAAGGCACGGCCGTGTTCCCATTGCGGTAGACGCAACGGTCCGCGCGGGGCGGAGATGGTTGCGGACGGGAGAAAATTCAACCTGTTAAGGGTCGTGCGTTTCGATACCGGATGTGTACAGAAATTGCATCCGGACATAGGTAACAACAATAAAGCGGTAAAGCGGTATTATCTAAAGAATTCCAGCAATTGTCTTCCCCCCTAAGCTGAAACTGAGGAATTGTTTAGCGTTGAAAAAATTAAACTCTGATAAACAAAATGTCTCTTGTGCGCTTGTTAACTTTATGATCTATGCATTAATAAAGTTTTTTTTTTCATTCGAGTTAACTCAGTTACTTTAACAGATAGATGCTTTAACGGTCATTTCTCTAAAATTTTCATCGAGAAGAAATTGTCGGTTTTTAGTTTAATGACGAATTTTTTTGAAGAAGCTACGAATAAAATTCAGAAAATACGTATATTCATATTTTTCTGATGAATTCATTAATATTTAATTAACTGTTCATCGTTATCGAATTGCATCTGTGCAGAAATGCTTTCAAAAGTTTATACGTTTTGTTCTCGAGGTGGAATGTGGAATATTTATGAGTATATAACTAGAGATATTACGGTTCAATAAACTGTAGTTTCATGAAATTCTATTTAGGCTGAAGGCTCTCTCTCTCTCGTTTTATGCGAGACTTTGTAGCGCATCGAATAGATCTCTTTGGCATATCGGCCACTGCACTGCGAGTACATCCGCGAAAATTTGCGCGCTGCCAAAACTGCATCGAGCGATTTTCCGCGATTTCGCCGGAGCCAATTGGCCATCGGCCCCCCTTTATCTAGATCACTGTACCGCGCAAACATTGCGCAACTCGCGGTAAGAGTGACCGCGCATACATAACTTCGTCTACAGGGTGTCGTATAAGCGAAGTCACTTTCCGTTTTCTTCGAGCTTTCTTTTCTTCGATTAGTTTGAGATCTTTGCGTTTATCAAGGAGAAAACAGGACGCTTTCTCGCAATTGTTGACGCGTTTATACGCGGGTATTGATCCGTTAAATCGTCTGGCGCGCTTGTTGAAGTCGAATTATTCGGCTGGCCGATCGATAGACGCGAAGTGGAAGACACGGGATACGCGTCGTTCGCGAGGCACGAGGTAGAAAATAATCAGAGGTGTGTTTATCGAGTGGACTGTTTGCCTATCCGCGGTCGACCGCGTTATAGACCTCTTACGGACGCCGTGTACGTACGCTACCGGAATAGCGACTCGGGGGAAAGAATAGAATAGCGCGCCGCTATTTTCGGCCGGATCATCATCGAGCCGCGATTCGTCGTCGTCCATCAGCGCCTCGGGAACGTGTGAAAGACCCTTTAGGCACGCCGGGAACGAAAGTGACGCGCGCGAGGTGCGTTGGCAAACCGGCGTGGCACAAATTTTGACGCTGACGGCGCATCAAGGCGAAAGTGTTACAAGGTTCCGAATAGCGATAGAACGTTCAATTCAAAGACGATTTTATTTTTTGCGCCGATTTGCCT